TTTACAACTGTATATCCTGTGAAGAGCTTCAAGACGTCCACACAACAATAACAACAACTTCTGTTTATGTTGCGCCCCTCACGCGGGGGAGCATCCCAGAGCACTTGACAATGGTGGAGATCAATGCCGAGCCAAGGGGTGGGGGAGATGACATAGGCACAGTCAAAGAGGAAAATCTTCAGGTGCAATTTGAAATGGGGGAATGGCGGAGGGAGAGAGGAAGAGCGTTCCACAGTTTCAGGGTGTAGTGGCTGAAAGCAGGGCCACCAATGGTGGAGTGGAGGGCACGAGGGACATGCCTAGACAGTTGAGCAGAGACAGCAAGTTGTAGGTTGGGAGGGGGTAAGCAGGTCGGAGAGGTATCAAGATGCCAGGGCATGAAGGGATTTGAAAACGAGTGTGAGGATCTTGAAATTTATCCATTCAGCGATAGGGAGCCAGTGGTGCCTGCCATAGAGAGCCAGTGGTGCCTGCCATAGGGAGCCAGTGGTGCCTGCCATAGGGAGCCAGTGGAGCCCATGATAGGGAGGCAGTGGAGCCTGCGATAGGGAGCCAGTGGAGCCTGCGATAAGGAGCCAGTGGAGCTGCGATAGGGAGCCAGTGGAGCAAGCAAAGAGCGATGCCCTTCAGGAGAGGCGATTTTAATAAATTTACCAAGAACAGAGAGTCACCATTAATATACCAGAGACTTTTGTGTAATTAACGGGCGTTAACCTCAGATAGGCCTGAAATCGATTTCCCATGTTCCGCACTACTCCAAAAAAACCTTCCTTTTATTAGTGTACTCATAGCATCCAACAGAGGGAGCTCATAGACCACAGCATGCACAAAGTAAATGTGCTTTATAATAACTCCGTGTATCAAAACAATGGGAGTCTTAGCGTAGCCTTGTCTGAAATTATTACCGTGTTAGAATACCCGAAGGCTTGGCTTGTCAGAGAAATTTGTTGTTTATGGCGTGGAAAAAGTGATGTTTCATAACACATTCTCCCTTGGGCTAGTGTGACATAACATGAAAAGCAACAATCTGCCAAACATGAAAAGTTTGGCAAAGGAATATCTGAATCGAGCCCACCCTGTGTGGGGATCTCGATCATCCAGTTCCTGAGCCAGGCAGGTCCACAGTATTCCATTATTATGATACTTTTCAGAGTGGATTTCAATTATAATAATAATAATAATAATAATAATAATAATAATAATAATAATAATATTAATAATGTGGAGTCCTGTAGCTCAGTGGTTAGAACACTCGTTTTGCAAGCGAGAGAGTTCAATTCCAGGCAGGGCGAAACCTTGGGCAAGTTTCCTTACTCCACACGCCTAATAATAATCCCTCCAAAAAACAAAAACAATAATTAAATTGGTCATTTTCAATCTACGACTGTTTGTGTGACATTGCTGTGCGCAATTGGCTGCCGCGTTCGCCCACAAATATACAGTCAATTCACTTTACAGTGTGTTCTGTGAAGCGCTTTGGGGCTTCCTCCCGACATGAAAAGCGCTATATCAAATGCAAGGATTATTATTATTATTATATTCTGTGGGCAAAACGCAGCAGCCAATTGCGCATAGCAGTATCCCACAAACAGTCGTGGATTGAGTGACCAAATTTTCTTTTAAAGGATCATTACCCCGGGAAAAGTGATCTGCCATTTGACTAACAACTGAGTTCCTACTTACTGCTAGGTAAACGGAATAAGGAAACTTGCCTAACGTTTTGCCCTGCTGGGAATCAAACCCAGGTCCTCTCGTTTTTAAGGCAATGCTTTAACCAATACTCTACAGGACTCCACTTAATAATAATAATAATCCTTGCATTTGATATAGCGCTTTTCACGTCGGGAGGACGTCCCAATTGGCTGCCGCGTTTGCCCACAAATGTACAGTCAATTCACTTTACAGTATATTCTGTGAAGCGCTTTGGGACATCTAGAAGACCTGAAAAACGCTATATCAAATGCAAGGATTATTATTATTATTATTATAAGGGAGTCACTCAGTCCCTCCCAAGAGGCAGAGGAGAGAAACAAGAACAATCCCTATTGTTAGAGGAATGATTTATGAGCAATGATTTGACAAGTTAGAGCTCTTGAAAAGAGATATTATAAGTTTAAAATGGATTGAGAGACAATACTTACACATACACACCAAAAACAACAACAGCTTGCACTTATAAAGCGTTCTCCATGCAGGGTACCATCTCAGAGAGCCTAACAGTGGTGGAGCCAGCAGGAGGGGGGAGATGGCCGTAAGCACGGTCGAAGAGGCAAGGTTTCAAGTGGGACTTGAAAGAGAGGAGGGAGGGGGCAAGGTGGAGGGATTGAGGGAGAGTGTTCCAGAGTTTTGGGGCATAGTGGCTGAAAGTGCGCCCTCCAATGGTGGGGCCAGGACAGTAGACTCGCCCTGTGCCCAAGCCATCAATCCTCCAAACAAATTGGTTGTCTATTTCATGGCTATATTCGGTTCTCAAATTAGCTGTCACACTTATCAAAAAATACATTGGCGTCACTTAGAAAGTTCAGCTTTTCAAGACTCTCAGTCTTGTCACCCTCCTCTCTACCTCACCAATGTCCTTTTATAGGTAGAGTGCAGAAAACTGCACAGAGAATTCCAAAAATGGCCTTAACAGCAATCTGTACAAGGTTAGAATTAATTTCTTTCAATTTCTAGCTAAATGCCCTTGAAACTTAAGTTAATACTGTAAATCGAGAAAACATTTTGCACATTTACATTTAAACTTTCAGCAAAATTAAATTGACAAGCAAAATTTCTTCCCTCTATTATTTGATTCTAACTGGGTTTATAGAATGTTTTAATAAAAACAGAAGTCACTGGGAACACTCAACAGGTCAGGCAGCGACTTCTGCTCTTGTTTCAGATTTCCAGCATCTGCAGTATTTTGCGTTTTGTTTATAGAATGTTTTTACTGAGTGAAAGCTTGCAATGCCAGGATCAAAGGATCCTTGTGCGTGAAATGTTTCCAATTTACAGCATTTTTGTTTGCCTTGTCATTATTATTGATGGCAAACCTTCAGTGAACTGACAATCTTCTGCCTCAGAGGCATGAGTGCTACCAACTGAGGCAGACTAAGTGGTTTTGCCAGAACCATTTCATATAGCGCCTTATCACGTCTTCGAGACGTCTCAAAGCACTTCACAGAATATATTGTAAAGTGAATTGGCTGCATATTTTGTGGGAGAAACACAGCAGCGAATTGCGCACAGCAGTGTCCCACAAACAGTCGTGGATTGAGTGATCAAATTATTATTATTATATTTTATGATGATTACAAAAATTTTGCCCAGGTATGCAACCCTCTGCACATTTGCCAATATAATGATTCTTGATATGTATTGTAGGAAATTTGTCTTCCAATAGTGTCCAACAAGCACTGTTTTGTCCAGCGCCTTGGGACATCCTCCTGACGTGAAGGGCGCTATACAAATGTAATTTTGTTATTTTGTTTGTTTTCTGTATTTCAAAATTATAAGTAAAAAGCTACAGTGGAAAAAGGCTAGTGCTTTGCTCACCAGATATCCTGCTCTCTGTCTTTTTTGGACTTCAGGATTTGAGATTCGTAAATCTCGCTTCGAATTTCTCCCGCCAATATTTCCGAGCACAAAATTAAGTCAGAATTAATACAACAAATCCAGTTTTTGAATACTGCATTTTAGTTTCCAGAGCCTGAGAATGTTGAAATGAAATGTTGCACTATTGCATGAAATACATCAAAACAGTAATACTTTTTCACGCAATATGACTTCAACAATTGACACATAAAAACGTGAAATTGAAATACTTCTATGTTTAAATATCAATTTCATTAATAGATTTCATTCATTTCATTCATCTCCCCCACAAAATATAGTCAATTCACTTTACAGTATGTTCTGTGAAGCGCTTTGAGACGTCTCGAAGACGTGATAAGGCGCTATATCAAATGCAATGATTATTATTATTGATTTCAGGATATTAGTATCAGTGGAAAGTGAGTGTAGCTGCAGTTGGTAGCTGTTCTAATAACGATTTCCACATAAATATGACAGCTTCCAACATGGGCATTTATTGCATGAAATCTTGCAGTAATGGAGCTCTGGTGACTCAACTTTCGAGCCAAGCTGGAAGACAGAGAGGGATATGGCCTTGCAATGATTTCGAAGTAGAGAGATCAGCGTACTCGGGTTTAATGGTAGGACATAACCTTAGAGCCTGATACCCAGCACGTGATGGGTAAGTGCCTACATCCCTTATATAAGAGTCAGCGAGGAGCTCAGTTATACAGTGAGAGCAGAGAGGAGCTGAGTCATACAGTGAGAGCAGAGAGGAGCTCAGTTACACAGTGAGAGCAGAGAGGAGCTCAGTTACAGAGTGAGAGCAGAGAGGAGCTCAGTTACACAGTGAGAGCAGAGAGGAGCTCATTTATACAGTGAGAGCAGAGAGGAGCTCAGTTATACAGTGAGAGCAGAGAGGAGCTCAGTTACACAGTGAGAGCAGAGCAGAGAGGAGCTCAGTTATACAGTGAGAGCAGAGAGGAGCTCAGTTACGCAGTGAGAGCAGAGAGGAGCTGAGTCATACAGTGAGAGCAGAGAGGAGCTGAGTTACACAGTGAGAGCAGAGAGGAGCTGAGTTACACAGTGAGAGCAGAGAGGAGCTGAGTTACACAGTGAGAGCAGAGAGGAGCTGAGTTACACAGTGAGAGCAGAGAGGAGCTGAGTTACACAGTGAGAGCAGAGCAGAGAGGAGCTGAGTTACACAGTGAGAGCAGAGAGGAGCTCAGTTACACAGTGAGAGCAGAGCAGAGAGGAGCTCAGTTACACAGTGAGAGCAGAGAGGAGCTCAGTTACACAGTGAGAGCAGAGAGGAGCTGAGTTACACAGTGAGAGCAGAGAGGAACTGAGTTACACAGTGAGAGCAGAGAGGAGCTGAGTTACACAGTGAGAGCAGAGAGGAGCTGAGTTACACAGTGAGAGCAGAGAGGAGCTGAGTTACACAGTGAGAGCAGAGAGGAGCTGCACAGATATCACAGGCAGAGAGACAGATACAGACAGCAACAAAGCAGCTCTGACAGCCAGATCCCAGCCTCTGTTCGAAGACATAAAGCAATCTCAGTTTTAGAAGAAAAAAGAAAAATACTCAAGCCCAGGGTTTTACACTGTAACAGCAGGTGGTTGTGGTTGTTGTTGTTGTTGTTGTTGTGCAGCCACTCGCTATGGCTACTGAAACCTTCAGTAAACAAGAAACGATCGAGCTCCGCAAAAAGCACATCGGGTGAGTGAGCACTGACTGGAGAGAGACAATGTTATAGTCCTGTTGTTCATTTCTCTGGATGTTTCATGTGTACTCACCTGTTGCAAGATTTCAGTTAATTTCCCTGGTTCTGTAGTTATTTTTAAAATATAATATATATATATGTGTGTGTGTATAAGATGTGTCTGATGCTGTGCTCCCTGTGATCAGTGATTAAAAGGACTAATTCTGTTCTTTCTAAATTGATGTCCCTGGAGGATTCAGACAAACAGAAGAAGTACAGTCAAACCTTCTCTGCCCTGTTTATACCCAGTCCCAGGGAGATCAAGTTACATGTGAGATTTTGGAGAAAAAAATACATTTAATAACAATAATAATAATAATCGTTGCATTTGATGTAGCGCTTTTCACGACGGGAGGACGTCCCAAAGCGCTTCACAGAACACACTGTAAAGTGAATTGACTGTATATTTGTGGGCGAACGCGGCAGCCAATTGCGCACAGCAATGTCCCACAAACAGTCGTAGATTGAAAATGACCAATTTATTATTGTTTTTGTTTTGGAGGGATTATTATTAGGCTCTGTGTGGAGTAAGGAAACTTGCCCAAGGTTTCACCCTCTGCCTGGAATTGAATTCAGGTCTCTCGCTTGCAAAGCGAGTGCTCTAACCACTGAGCTACAGGACTCCACACATAATAAAAACATCAGGCACTTAATATGCATCAAGTACAATCATTTTTTATATAGCTATATATATATATTGGCTTAATGGTTCTTGCAATCACATAGTCTTACCCTGTCACTCCAATGCAGCACTGGGCATTATTGGAGGTGCCATCTTTCCATGAGACCAAAACCCAAGGTCCCGGTCTACCTGTTAAGGTGGGTGTTAAAGATCCTCTAGCACTACTCGAAAAGAGAAGGAAGTTTCTCCTGGCCAATAATCCCACAATAGATATATATATCTTTGAGACGTCTCGAAGACATGATAAGGCGCTTTATCAAATGCAAGGATTATTATTATATTCAATGCGAAACGGATGGAAGCAGGAAACATTACTGATCGACAGAAGAATTCTCACCACCAGTTTAAGGGAGTGGTTAGGGCTAAATATTCCTCCTGATCCTTCCTGGAAGGGAAGGCAGCAAAATACTGGAATAGTGTCTGATTACATTATGTGAATAATTAACACTTTCAAACCTCAGTTTAGAGTCTAACTTTAGAGAAACAAAGGAACTGCGCTTCACAGTGACAGAGTTGGATGCCGAATATGGGAGAAAGGGGTCAAAGAAGTGGTTCCAAGATGGAGGGGGAGGGGGAGGAGGCGAGTTCCAGGAGGTTAGGCGTGCAGTAACTGAAGGCTCCAACATGGATGGTTGTGTGAAGGGGGTGGGGATGTGCAGCATGTCTGTGTTAGCTGAGCAGAGGGAACAAGGGAAGGAGTACAAAAGTTTCAGAGAGATTGGAAGGTGCTAGAGCATGAAGGGATTTAAACGTATGCGTGAAAGTGAGACTAACTGAGCCAGGCTGAAGTTTAAAGTAAAGACAAGTAAAATGATATTCTCAGATATGAAGATATGAAAACATTAAGATTTCTTTCCTTGAAGTGATTCCAGATGAGGTTTTTAAAAAGAAGATACCGTTTAAATCTTTTAGTGCACTAACGGAGAGAACTTCCACCTACTCACAGCTTATGATACTATTACATTGGAAACAATCGCAAGATCAGCAGAATTGGGGAAAATCCTTTGGAACCTGAGGGCCACTCTGCCACCTCGTCGGTTGGGGCGAGGGGTGATATAAAGTTAGTTGTTAGTCAATTGGCGGATCGCTTTCCGGGGGTACTAATCCTTTTTTTAAATTGATGTTCCTGGAGGATTCAGACAGACAGAAGTAACCCCAACAGCCCCACCTCAAAAAAAATACTCAATTCACAACTGTTTGTGGGATACTGCTGCCGCGTTTCACCCACAAAATTCACAGTCACGACAGTTTACAGTATATCCTGTGAAGCACTTTGAGACTTCTCAACGACGTGATTAGGCGCTGTATCAAATGCAAGGATTATTATTGATGATTATTATTATAAAGTGTAGCCAGAGGGGAGGTTTCGATTGAGGGACGTGGTCACACGGAGACAAATAGGATTCAGCGAGTCCAAGAATGTCAGTGTGCTCTGGATGAAGTCATATAGTATAGCGGGATATTTAACATCCACCTAAAAGAACATCAAAATGGTAGCTCAGTTTAGCGTCCCATCAGAAGATCAGACAAACACAGTTTTCTTTGCTCCCCAACACAGTCTCTAGAAATTCTGTCTGGAATCATGTCCAGTTTTTGTGCCCCAGTGTTGGTCTCATGAGAATGCCCGTTCAGAGTGAGGAGCAAGTTTTGGGAAAAGACTGTACTTGTTTAGTAAACAGCACTAAGCATTTCAGTTGTTCTGTAACTGCAGGCTTATGTAGTACAGCTAACAGGAACATTTTGCTAAGTAACTCCAGAGACTCAGAACCTTCAAATTGCTGAGGTCGCCTTAAGAGAAACAGTAGTGATTTTATTCTCATTGGTTTTCAGTCCCTGGTCCAATTCTACCAATGACTATCTTTAGAATGCTCTTTGTTGGAGTCTCGCTATTAAGCTATTACCTCCTTTCAGTTATACCCTAAAAGTGCCTTCTTCGTAAACCCATAAGGTTTAAGCTGATTCCTATCAGTGCTCAATTTCAAGCTGACTGTTTCCTTTGAGGTCACATGCAAAAGTGGCTTTTCCTTAAACACGCATTGTTTCTATAGTTGGAAACAGTCGTGTAGGACCCACCACTCTGTTTTTCCAAAGGAGGCAAGTGTCAATATCTCCCAGGCAGCACATGTGTACCTATTAGACTTCATTAGTCATTACAGGCCAATTTATAATGTTTGCTTGCAGAACCAGTGTTTACAGAATGAAGTAACCCAGTCGTTAATGGATTGGCAGATTCCTTTTCCAGGGTAATAATTCCTTTAAAAAAACATAATAATAATAAATTGGTCACTTCAATTCACAACTGTTTGTGGGAAACTGCTGTGTGCAATTGGCTGCCGCATTTCTCCCACAAATTATCCAGTCAATTCACTTTACAGTATATTTTGTGAAGCGCTTTGAGACGTCTAGAAGATGTGATAAGGCGCTACATCAAATGTAAGGATTATTATATATTATATTATTGTATCTCAGAATTTTGACAACTGAGTTAATATGCAAATGAATTGCCTACATCAGGGACCTGCTTGTTGTAAATGCAGACCATCAAACTGTGCTGCCCCACATTGGTTTGACGGTGGCATAGCATTTTCAAGCGTTTTGAGACTTCCACCTGACATGAAAGATATTATATATCAATGTAAATGCTATTGTATTGTACAGCATTAACTCAAGTGGTTTCTGAGTCTAGATCAACAAAATCATTCCAAAGGGAAGGGGTTTAGCATGTCAAAAGTAAAAACATTAAGGGATGTTGGGGGGTGGGAAATGGTTATAATAAACTAGAAAAGCTTTTTAAAAATGCGTGCCTGGCACAAATAATGAAAGTGGATTGGCGTCCTTCTGTACTTAAGGTCTTGCTAAATGCATGATAGTCAGATGTTCACTTATGTTTTAACAGAGTTTCTGTGGTAAACAGAATGCTGACCAGTGTGTCTATGATTTACTTGAATGATTGATTCTGTTATGTTATACATTTACTGCTGTACAAATGCTAATATGCTAGTTCCTAAGCAACTGAGACAATCTGAGCTATGTTTTATCTAAGTACATACAGTGCCTATTGCACATATTTACAAATGAATGAACCCTTTGCAATATTAATAGAGGGACATATTGTACTCATAAGATATTCTTGTTTTGATTTAATGCAGAACAAGCTTAGCTTGAAACATACTCTTAACTTATCAAATGCAAATGGAGATTTTGATTGCTCAAAGTTTCAGAAAAGTCAATGGTTCAACAGATGAGTCAACTTGTGCAAACAAACTGTGTGTAAGCAAACAGTGACAGTATTTGTTCAAGTTCATTTTGATGTCTTTATTCATCAGGCCATGTTATTCACTGTCATTGTTTTATTTGGGGAAATCTTAAAATCCAATGTGTAGCCCATCTAGGAAGAATGGATGTCTGTGCAGGGTCTGCCAAGAGGTGGACAGTGATTGTGGCAATGCATTGATAAAACCAATTAAGGGAGGAAAGGCCTCCTTTAACTTGTCTAATGAAAGTGGATTGGGCCAATTGGTGGCTCTGAACATCTGTTGAGTGAAGCTTTTCTTTTGTATTAAGATAGTTGAGTTTGTCGTCTCTATTTATCATCATGGGTTTGTTTCTTTTCAGACCTTCGTGCAAGGTGTTCTTTGCAAAGGAGCCCCTCAAGATAATCCGAGGGAAGGGACAGTACATGTATGATGAGAATGGCGAGAGATTCCTGGACTGCATTAACAACGTAGCTCACGGTGAGGAGCTGACTCTCATACATCATTGAAAGAGTCTAAAATGCAGCATTCAAAAGTCACTGTGTGTGAACTTCACAATCTATTTTCTGTGACTGAACAAATTTGAAAAAAATCTCGATGCTGAATGCTATTTTGTGCCTAGCGTTTTGCTATACGACCTTTTATTTGACAAGAAAGTGACTTTGTCAGCATTTAGAAATGCACTTTTTTCACATATTAGGTTTTGCAAAATCTGGCAATTTCAGTCACAAAGCAGAAGTTACAATTAGCACAATGAATTTTAGCTTACACATACCGCATTTTAGGCCCCTTTATGGAATACAGTATGAAATACTGTCTACAGGTTTGCTTCCATTTTAGTCCTGTTGTACTTGGTATATGATGTACTCCTGTACTTGGAAACTTTTTTCACCTCTGGAATTTGTGTTTGAATACAGCCCAAACTTGTGGAACGCAAATAAATATGAAAAGTTATTGTGAGCAGCTGTGCACCCTTGAATTGTATTCTCTGAAACAGGATGTTAAAGTCTGATCTGGTTGTGGTGTTTAAAATAATGAAGGGGAAAGATCAACTAGATAGGGAACAACTCTTTCCTCTGGTAAAGAGAGTCAAAAGAAGGGGTTATATTCTAAAAGTTACAGTTCATGTTTCAAATACAAATTAGATAGATTTCATTTAGGAAAAAATATTTTGGATTATGGGAAAGGTATATGAGTAGTTCAGGACATGACACATGCATTCGACTGCCAGCATGGTAGAAGGCGAACTTAATGGACCTTGATCTTTTTTCAGCTAGCATTTCCTACATTCCTATGTTAAGCCAGTTAGAAGTGAGATCAGGAACTGTTGAATTCATGGCCACACAAGGACCGTACATGGATACAGAAACAATAGGGATATCTGAAAAACTGATAGACATAGAAGAAATTCCACCTGGCACCAGATTTACTCTAAAAATACACAATCACTACACTTCAAAGTAAAATCCTGTAAGCGTATTGATATAGCTTGAAGACATGATACAATATATAAAATGCAAGGATTATTATTTATGTCAAATTTCAGAGTGTCCAGAATTTAGCAAATTCTTAAATACAGCTATAATTTTGAAGTTAGTTTTCTGCAAGTTCTTTTAAAAACTAAAGAAAATCAACTTCAAAGTTAAGCCTAAGTCAACAATTTGCTAAAACCTGGACACTCTCAAATGTTACATAAATTGGAGTAAATCTAAACCCAGGTGTAATTTATCCCAATAGTTTGGGGGATAAAGGTCCTAGGTAATAAGAAGAAAAAGTCAGAGAAATGAGTTTAAAGATTTTGCATGATCACTCTCCATTAAGAATTTTGATATATGGCTGCATATTAATAATTCAGTCCTTTATTTAGGAGGTAGTTTCACCCCTCCTTGGCTCAATCTCTTCTCAGGACAAGAAAATTGTAGGACCAGGGAGGGGAAACGGAAAAAATCAGAAAATTACGTCATGCAGTTCGATATGCAATTCCATTAAGAGAATTGCCTTTCATGTGAAGAATGTTTTCTTTATTGTAGTTAAATATATTGTGTGAGGAAACTGTTATTTGTAATTCATTGCTTTGTGTGAGGAAGATACTTGTTGAAATTTAATATTTTGCACAAAAAAAAGTCTTTTATTGAAGTTGAATGCTTTGTGTGAGAAAGTTTTTTTTAATTCTATTGGGAAAACTGGCCTTTGTGTGAGGAAGGTTTTTGTTGAAATTGAACACTTTCTATGAAGGTTTTTAGTGACGTTGGATGTTTTGTGTGAGGAAGCTGTTTAACTGTACTTTTTTCAAGAAAGGTTTTCAATTGTGTTGGAGAAATGTACTTTGTGGGAGAGATGTTTACTTGATAGCAAACCTGATATTGAATGTTTTGTATGAGGAGGATATTTGCTGATATTGAATACTTTTTACGTATGCTTTTTGCTGAATGTCATGAGTGGTTTGTGTCCTTTCTCCAGTTGGTCACAGCCACCCAGATGTGGTGAAAGCTGCCACCAAGCAAATGGAGCTGCTGAACACAAACTCACGGTTCCTTCACGATAATCTGGTTCATTACGCCAGGCGCCTGACTGCAACCCTCCCATCAAAGCTCTCAGTCTGCTACTTCGTAAATTCAGGGTAAGATTTTGACCACTGTTCAGACCTAACATTTTACAATAACAATTTACATTTATATACTGTAGCAACTTTCACGTCAGGAGATTACCTTAAAGTCACCACACTTTATCCTATGAAGTGCTTTGGAACCTCAAACATGAAAGGCACTTTTTAGAAAGGGCTGAGTTTCCCTGAAAAATACACACTTTACAGTATATTCTGTGCAGCGTTTTGAGACATCTCAGCGACAGTGTTATAAAATGCAAGGATTTTTTATTATTGTTATGTTCGGAGGCATTCTTCCTTGTCAACTGTAAACTTGGTGACGTAGATACGTTATCAGGTTATTTGATTGTAAGATCTTTCTCATGGCCGTATGGTTTTCCTCGACAGCTCTGAAGCCAATGACCTTGCTCTGCGCCTGGCTCGTGAGTACACTGGGCACCAGGATATCCTAACTCTGGATCAGTAAGTAGAAAAAATCATCTGTTTATTGTATGTATTTCAACTGCTGGAAGTCGGGCAGAGACTAACAGGGAAAATATTTGTACTGATGGCGCCGTGGAAATCATTTTAAAAGAAATCTTTTCACAATTTTGAGTTAAGTAGGGTGCAGTGGACAGGGCTTTCTTCCCGCACGCACGCACACACACACCCTCCCCCATCTAAACACACACAGAGCTCTCCTCAGTCCTCAACACCACCCCCACACAAACACCCATAGACCTCTTCTGAACCGCCTTCTCTCTTTCCCCCCCACATCTGCCTAAGTGGAGTCCATTCTATCATGAGAAGGGAAGGAGGCGGTTTTGTGGAAAGTATGTGGTTTCCTACACTGCCTTGTAGATTGAGCATGTAAATGAATGGATTACAAAAACCCAATATTGTGTCCAAATTACGGTAAGTTTGTCTTTCCTCCTCTTTCCATCCAGTGCTTACCATGGCCACGTGACATCTTTGATTGACATCAGCCCCTACAAATTCCGTGAGCAGAGTGCAAGAGCCCAGAAAGAGTTTGTGCACATTGTGAGTATCAGTAAGAGCCAGACTTGTTAAACAGCACTATCCTGCAAACCTACTGCAGCCTAAGGTGCAAGAGGCTGCCAATGTTAATAGCGTTTTCTGCAAAACAGCTTAACCTGCAGTGAAAAACGGGATCCTTTACATCTGATCTTAAACAATCATAGTATATAGAAAGAATGAACAACATCGTTTAGATTTGATGTTAGTGGCTTTAAAACAACTCGTTAATTCTATCGCATTTGGCATAGATTCATGGAGATCACAGCACAGAAAGGAAGCCATCACACCTGCACTAGTCAAAACACAAAATACTGTAAATGCTGGAAATCTGAAACAAAAACAGAGAGAGCTGGAAAAACTCAGCAGGTCAGGCAGCATCTATGGAGAAAGGAATGTGAGTCAACGTTTCGGGTCCACGACCCTTCATCAGAACGTTCTGACGAAGGGTCGAGGACCCGAAATGTTGACTCACTTTCCTTTCTCCATAGATCCTGCCTGACCTGCTGAGTGTTCCCAGCTCTCTCTGTTTTTGTTACACCTGCACTACCTACCAGGTTTCCACTTTTGAGCTAACCTGTCTATTTTACTCAATTAAGAAACCCTGCAAACATGCTCTTATTATACTCTCATCTCAATCGTCTGCTCTTTTACACCCCCCGCCCCCCACCCCCACCACCTGGTAACTTCTTCTATTTCTCTCCATGGAAATTATACGCCTCAGCTTCTTGCGCAACATAAAGTAATGTTTATTTTCGTTGCTGTTTCAGGCACCATCTCCAGACACTTACAGAGGAAAGTACAGAGAGGATCACCCTGACCCTGGAACTGCCTATGCAGAGGAAGTGAATGTGCTGATTCAAGATGCCCAAAGGAAAGGCCATGAGGTTTGTAACCAGGCCGGCAGGTCTTATACACCACAATGTAATAAAGCTGTCACTTGCAGGGTCTTGCGTCAGAAACAAAGATCAGTTTCAAAACAAATCTTTTTTTTTAAAAAAATCGAATGAAGTTAGAAGCTTTCATAAACAAATTTTAAAAACGCAGATGCTGGAAATCTGAACAGAAGCTGAAGTAATGTGAATTGCTGCACACCCATCAGCATCTGAAAGAGAAAGATAGGCAAAGGTTTCAGGCTCAGTGAGAAGGGTTAGGTTCGGAGATCGCAAGTTTTTTGCATAGCAACTGTAGTACCGAGAGGGAATCCATTCCCTTAGAAAGAAGAAAAAAAGTTGTATTTTTATAGCACCTTATCTTAAGATGCTTTACAATAATTACTGTCCAGTTTAGTCTTATTTTTTGGTGGACAAATGTGGCAGTTTTGTTGAGCACAGTTAATGTCCCTCAAACTGTCTTGACCTGAATGTTTAGATTATCTGTAGGATTGTTAGCGAGGACATGAGAAGAAACTCCTTTCAACATTTAGGCGAGCATGCTACACCTGAGCCAAGCCCGGTTTATGTTACATTTACAATTCACAATTTTGATCAATTGAATTAGTTTTATTTTTTTAAATTTCAACCAAGAGTGTGTGAATTAGTTTTTATCCTCGATGAAGATGAGAAAAATTGGTTCTGTTTCCACTGGAACAGGGACATTTAACTGGGGATCCAATAGAGTTCTTCAAAATTGTGAAAGGTTTTGAGAGAATAAATAATGAGAGATTATTTCCACTGGTCAGTGAATGGGTAGTAATAGGACACAGCTCAGAATTGTTACTGAAAGACTTATGGTGAAATCAGGATAGGGTTATTGGAATATGAAACACTTTGATACAAATGCCACAAGTATTGAGGCTGAAGTCACAACATTTAAAATGGATGAACGTTTTGATGAGGAAGAATATAAATGATGCAGAATATTGGGCTTAAATGGTTGACTCCAGTGGAGTTGCTGGAACTGGCAGAGGCTGAATGGGTCTCGTGACAGTAATTGATATGATAAGCATCACAATTCGAATAACAGCTTCAAAAAATACATATTACCTGGTTGGTATACACACACTTAAAGCATCATCAATTATTGCTAATTTTTCTGAGAGGTTTTGGTGGGGAACCGCGATGAAGTTACAGGAATGAGGTTCGGCTGTGTTTAAGTAACAGTTACAGTGTGAAGCAAGACACCCTTTTTTCATCATAGACAGTGTAAAAGGAGGAAAACATTCTCTCTATGCTCCTGCTCAGTTCTGTTTACTCATGCACTGAAATGAGGAAGTTCACACTTGGGTGATAGCAGTGTTTAAAGCTGCTGAAAGTTCACAACACACATTGCAATAAGGGAATCCAAGAATTGGAGTTATGACTATGTAGTCCCCTATATGTCCAGTAAACAGTGTTGAAGAATCTTGGGTGTGATGGTCTGTATGTCTGTGAGTTGAGTGCCCTTTGATGCACGTTTTACAATTAGATTTCCAGTTAACCATACACAAGGGTGTATCTATGCTCTTTCTCTTCTACCCCCACCCCACACCTCAAGAGGAGTCACAGAGTGCTTCCCAATCGCAGGCCATGAGTTCTGCTCCATTTCCTGCAGTCCAGCAAGCTTCCTGTCCCACAGTTGCGCCCATTGCCCAAAGAGAAGCCTGGGGGGAAAAATCACACTGCACGTGGGCATGAGCCTGCGCAAGCTCAGTAGAAACTGGCAGGAATTCTACTCAGAAGGAGATCTTCAAGCATTAGCTGGGCCAGCTACCCCTCTGGTCTGTCGTCTTCTGTTCTCAGCCAACTCCCCCACTTACCTCTCAGATTTGGCCAGCTGTCCCCCCATTCTCCCACCCCCTACCCTACCCTCTCTTGATCTAAATTTGCATGGGGTTACTTCAGGGATAAACCTCGGTCCACGCATTGTCATTAAAGTAACGCAAGTCTGCGGCACTCAGGGCATCATCCCCCTATTGTTTGAGACCTTGGTTTGCATCCCAGAACCTTGGGATGTCCTCCCATTGTGAAAGGCGCTATACAAATATAATTTTGCTGTTGTTGTTGCATTATAAATATAATGCACTTCAGTCCAGTAGTTCAGTGACCTAATCCATTTTTCTTTGGTTCTTTACTATTTTGTCCAGAAAATATACAGTCAATTCACTGTACAGTATATTCTGTGAAGCACTTTGGGACGTCTCAATGACGTGATAAAGCGCTATATCAAATGCAAGGATTATTATTATTATTTACTAATGGATAGTTTTTTTCTTTTTTTTCTCCCTTTTTGTTGGATATCTTTGCAGGTAGCCATGACGTTTGCCAAGCAGAGAGAGTAAAGGCAAGTGGCACATGGGTTCAAGTGGCCCATTCTGTTGTGCTGCAGTGTCTTTGAAGCAACAGCTTGCTCAGTTGCTCTCTAAACCATGTCACCAAAGGCCAGAGATGCAGTGGTTTATTTCTCGGAAGACAATGCCATCCATCTACCATGGAACTCTGATATCCAGGGAGGGTTTAGCCAACATTATGCCTTAGAGATTGATACTGTGCAGGTCTGGGCATAGGACTTGTGAGCCCATACAATTCTGCCAGATCAACAAGTGAAATGTATTGAAGTGGATTTTTCTGATCTGTTAAAACCCCTCAGATGTGGGGGTGTTGCTTTTTTGACTTTTTTTAACAAACAAGCTCTCAAAATTGTTAACAGACTTTCCCTTTGTAGCAACTCATGCAACATCGAGTATGGAAAGCTACCTTGGGACTGGTTTAAGAGAAGCGTTGCATCCTTGAAGAAATACTGGAAGAGTTTCGTCTGAAGGCTGGAGTAAAACTATGGATGTGCTACAGGGACACCAGACGACTGTGCTGACCTTGGAGGGTTTAACGATTGTGTCCTCTAGCTTCCAACTCTAACAGCAATGGTTTACTTCCTTAGCACAGTGTTGGCTGGAGATTTGTGGCATTCATGTCGTCTTCTTTTGTATAGATCGCTGCGTTTATTGCTGAATCCATGCAGAGTTGTGGAGGTCAAATAATCCCACCGCCTGGCTACTTCCAGAAAGTGGCACAGTATGTACACAGCCTTATCTAGCTTCTAAGCTGCTTTTGCTAATATCTTCTCTCTGTTTTTACCCCTTTCTGAAGTAAAAGTACATAAAGCTTCTGTAAAGCGCCAATCTGTATTCTGCAAACATTCTGGCGTAAAAGTAGTGAATAATTTAGGAGCAATTCCATGTTTTCAGATTCCTTTGGAAAGATGTTTCTTATTTTCTCCCATTTTCTCTCCAATTTGTGTCCCATATTGCATCCTGGGGTTTGTCAGTGATTCTAGCAAACCTTTGGTTTTGTGTATGCAATGGCGTTTCCCATGCAGAACAAAAACGTTTGCTGGAATTTGTTAGATCATTCTTGGGCTTTGATTCATCTTGGCTTTTTTTCAGCATGCGCTCTATAAACTCAACACCTAGACTTCTCGATGTAAAACCTGCAGTACCCGGACTAGAAGGTTGAGCTAGCGAGTTTTTGCCAGAGCTACTCCTTTCCCACTGCTGGTAGATGGGAAAAACTTTTCCTTCTCTTTCTTCTTCCTTTCTTGCTGAGCTTTGCTCTGTCTCTGCTCAACCTTTCCCTTTGATATTAGGGTGAGTTTGAGAATGCTGCTTCATCAATGGCAAAGTGACTCCTGAGTGCAAAGCTGAGTGTCTGAAGTTCAGTCGCCAGTGCAGAATGAGCTGATCTTAGTCAGTACAAATTGTGATGTGACATTACCCCTCAGTCCTACCATCACAATCCAGTATCCCAGGGTATCTGGAGCTGGGCCATCGACTGGTATTTTACTGCAGGCACTCATGGATTTGACTGCAAAGAAATGAAGCTTTTGTATTTCATATCCAATTTACTTAAAGTGGGAGGGGTCCACAATGGACTTTAGACCATTTGAAATTTGCCTCTAAAGTCCCAAATGAATTGGAGGTCGCCCATATCCTAGTTCCAAATGCTTCTCCCCAACCCCAAAACAATGGGCTCAGAAGCAGATGGCAGCTTTGTGGTAAAATATTCTTCTTGTCTGAAAGCTGATTTGTTTTCAAACAAGTTCAATGTAAGGAGCAAGGGGCAAAAATACATTTGTATGAAAAGTAACTTGCATGTTGTGTGTATTTGTAAATGTCAGTCACCTGCCTTCTCCTGGGACTCTAAATCCCTTGCTTTCTTAGGCTTAAGACTGTTGTCTTAACTTTAAGATTGTGTCAGTTTTTGGAAAATAATTTTAAATTTGGAAGCCAAGTTTCCAGTTGTGGTGTGCTGGTGCGGGGCTTTCCCGCGGTACTGGATGACTGCTTGTGTTTGCAGGTACGTGCATAATGCAGGGGGAGTGTTTATAGCTGACGAAGTCCAGGTCGGCTTCGGACGGGTCGGGAAATCTTTCTGGGCCTTCCAGTTGCAAGGAGAAGACTTTCTACCAGACATTGTCACCATGGGCAAACCTATCGGGAACGGTCACCCCATGTCCTGTGTGGTCACAACCAGGGAGATTGCAGAAGCATTCCAAGCATTGGGCGTGGAATATTTCAACACTGTAAGTCTCTTCGGTTGTGTGGTGAAAGTTCAGGGTAATGTTTTCCCTCATAACATCTAATGTAGCTAAGGGAAAGGAGTGTGTTCGAATTGCATTCAAAGTCATTTGATTATTTTCTCCCTCTTGCCCTGAAGTTGTTGACGTTTGCTGGGTTATGATTTCATGGTTCCCGCAACCCCAATCCAAGTGACCATTGCTTATGTATGATCTGAGACTGAGAGTGTCAGCAGATCAGATTATTTCAACCATTACACGAGAATCACAGCTAAATCTAATTTGGGCACCTTTTCAGTGTCTGATCCCGTTCAGGAAGACAACAAGAGAAATAAAATTTGGCCCTGGGAACCCTGAGCTAGACAGGGCACCAGTCAGCTAAAGTTTCTGTTCCTGGGGGTTTCTGTCCCATCCCCAGTGTCAGAGGAATGGGCAACAATTAGACAAGTTATAGCTCTTCAGCCTTATTAATTTAAATTAATCTTTGCATTTGATATAGGGCCTTATATCGTTGAGATGTCTCAAAGCGCTTCACAGGATATTACTGTAAAATGTATTGACTGTGTATTTTGTCAGCGAAACACAGCAGCCAATTGCTTACAGCAATGTCCCACAAACAATCGTGGATTCAGTGATTACATTTTTTTTGTTTTTTCTGGAGGGTTTATTACCCCTGGAAAGCGATCTGCCAATTGACGAACAACCAAGTTCCTATTTACTGTTAGGTAAATGAAGAAGTGTGGAGTAAAGAAATTTTCGTATGGTTTCGCCCTGCCCGGGAATCGAACCCGGGTCTCTCACTGTCTCAGTGACATCTTATGATCTCTGCTGCAAAAAAGTATGTGTAAACCTTGAGTGAGGAAAGAATTAGGCAATGCAGTGATGCTCCCTGCAATAGAATAAACTGACAACACTCACTGACTTGGCTCATGCATTCCTTGTGACGCAATCTAGACATTCAGTTTGACCCCCTGCTGTCCTTCCTTCCCCACATCCGGTCCGTCACCAGGGCAGCCTTCCTCCAACTCCGACTCATTACCCATCGCCGACCGTACCTTCCCCCAAATGCAGCTGAAACCCTCATGCATGCGTTTGTCGCCTCCCACTTGGATTACTCCAACGCACTCCTCGCTGGTCTCCCCAACTCCAGTATTCAAAAAATCCATCTCATTCAGATCTCTGCCGCCCACATATTGATCCGGACAAAACACCGTATCCACATCTCACCAATACTGGTCAGGCTCCACTGGCTCCCCATCACCGAACGGATCAACTTCAAAATCCTCACACTTGTGTTCAAATCCACTCCCTGGCACCTCACTACCTCTCTGACCTCCTCACTGCCCAATCTACCACCTGGCACCTCCGCTCAACTGGCACCAGCCTGCTGCTTGTCGTTCACGCCCTCAACTCCACCATCGGAGATCGCCCATTCAGCCACTATGCCCCCAAACTCTAGAACACTCTCTTGTTCAATCCCTCCTCCTTGCCCCCTCTCCCCTTTTTCAAGTCCCACCTGAAAACCTTCCTTTTCGACTGTGCTTCCGGCCACCTCCCCCCAGGCTTGGAGCACGCTAAATAAGTGTAAGTTGTTGGTGTTGAAAGAATAGAATGTGTTTAGGAATTCAATTGGGACTCAAAAGTGTTGAATGAAAAGACACCTCCATAAATTCATCTTAAAGGATTTTAATGGTAAAACTAATCAAGTCATCAGACCCAGCTGGTGTCAGTATCCATGGTGAATAAACTCTAGGCTGTTTTTGAGATATTGTTGAGTTGTTTATTTTAAGTTTCTTATTCTGTAGTTTACGATTCAAGTGCCAGTTTGATTTTTTTTAAGCTTAAGTATTTAGGGTGCTAATCTTTCCTTTACATTTCGCAGTTCGGAGGTAACCCAGTCTCATGTGCCATTGGTCTCGCAGTCCTGGATGTCATTGAAAAGGAGGATCTCTGTGGCAATGCCACAAAAGTTGGAAATTACCTGATAAGCTTGCTGAAAAAACAGCAAGCAAAACACCCACTTATTGGGGATATCAGGTAACTGGCACAAGCACAGCTGCTGTATAACTTTTGTTGGGTCAGCAGCCAGGTGACTGACACATGCGGACTTAAGATATCCAAACCAAACTGAGTTCCATGCATCCCACCTACACATGGAAATTCTCATGTATTGGAATGGAATGCACATTCTCTTCCTGGAGGGATGCATCTTGCTTACCTAATTCTGGAGAGTATTAGGCACAGGCTGGCAAGAGCCAAGGCTTGGAGACCCCAGAGTATGTGTTGGGGTAATGCTGGTATCTAACCAGCTAAAACTACATAGCTTGCCATTGAAAGAACTGTGTGGCAAGCTTTCCTGCTGGTTCCCCAGCTAGAACCTTGGTTTGCAGGGTTAACGGGCGATGAATGAATGGGAAGATTCCCTGTCACTGGTCTGCCCTTCCAAGTCTTACGATGGACCAAGCTGGCTGTGCTGTCATCAGCAGTGCCCTGAAGTACTGCAGGTCCCGCCTGGCTCAGGACACGGACTAATGAGACCACAGAGGGCTGGCTCGATTCTGACATTTCATTGTAAATGTCACCTTGGAGCCAATTCAGCTCTAAGGAGAACCCGCTTACCCCCACCTCCCACCCCCCTCCTCCCCGGAATGGTCATTTGACCATTTGATTATTTGACATCTGACAAGTGCACGTTTGAGTCCTCACTAGGTGGATGACTTATTAAAACTAGTACATTGGTAAAGAATAAAGAACTGGCATTGTATCAATGCTAATGACTCAGAGTGTAAGTGTCAATGTCAAGTTGTTCTTTAAACATGTGTAAGTTATTGTCATTAAGCTACAGTGTTTTTGCAGTCCATTGTTGCTAATTTTAAGACCTACCTTTTCAATCGTCCTTTCCTCCAAAGTTCTCTCCTGTACTCACTTTATCAACTCTCTCCCCCCACCACTCCCTGGCTAAGGCTCCCAGTCAGCTGAGTGAACTTCCTATATGAAAGGCACTATATAAATATAATTGTTGTTGCCGTTGTAATTATTGTAATTACAAGATTTGTTTGGATGAAGGTCCTCCATCTCATCTGATCTCAACCTACCGTGCTCTAAACACAGCATCAAGCTGTTTTGTAAATTAATTCTGACCTCAACCACCCTTCCTGGTAACGCGTTCCAGTCATTAATTACCCTCTGGGTAAAGAAAAAAAATTCTGTCCTGAAATTGCCCTGTGTGACTTTAAACCTGTGTCCTTTGCCATGTTAAAGTGTTCTGTGAATGTAAAGTTTAGTCGCTCCCATTGAAATGTTTCCTGATGCACTGAATATTTCCTTTGCACAGAGGTATGGGCTTGTTTATTGGAGTTGACCTAGTTAAAGATCTCAAGAAGAGGACACCAGCAACTGCTGAGGCACAGCACATCATTTACAGGTAAAGTCTCACTTTATACTGGTGTTTCTTGCTGTGATTTTTTCCAAACATTATGTTGAATAATCACAAAATAATCCACGTATTAAAACTAACAATGATGAATTAGTGATTAAATCCATGGGTGAGGCTCTGAGCCGTAAATTAAATACCCCAGGAGCCAGGCTGCCAAGGTTCTGGGAGTTACTTCCTCAGACAGTGACTCACAACCGCACACAAATAATACTATAAAAGCTATTGGGTAGTCAACATGACAAACCCACATCCGGACTTTGAAGTCACATAGTCTAGGGCAGGCTGACACCCCAGCGCACTGTTGGAGGTGCCATCCTTCAGATGAGATGTAAGAGCAACTCAGCCTGGAACTTTGAATTCACAGTCTAGGCCAGTGCTTACCAAACTATGATTCGCTGACCACCTCCGCCCCTCCTACCCCCCCATACATTCACACTGGTCTAGGTAAACCCTTGAAGTCCTTGCTCGATCAGTCAGTAGTGTGTTTCTAGGTTTCTCTGGATTTAATATTTCTTATTTATGGCATAAATCAAGAAATATTCAATTAAGAAAATGTAGTTTGTTGGCCGTCCATAAGGATTGGCCACCCTGGTCTAGCTGACCCTCCCAACGCAGGGACGAGGGGAGATGTATTGTCGGAGGTGCAGTGTTTCGAATGAGATGCAAAACCAAGGACCCGACTGCTAGTCAGGTGGACGTTAAAGATCCCACTGCCCTATTCGAAAAGAAAAATATCGATGTCAACAATTCCCCAAATAAAATTGGTTATTCACTGAGGTTCTCCAAAAGGCTGTCAATGGCAAGCTACGTTGTTTTAGCTGGTTAGGCTCCAACACACACTCTGGAGTCCCCAAGCCTCATTTCTTGCCAACTTGCCCATAGTATTCTCAGGAATTTAGTAAACACAGTGCACCCTGCCAGGGAGTGTTCTCATTCAATTCCAGAGACAGGGACATTTCCATACCTGCTTGACAGTCTTGTTTGGATACTGTTAAGTTGGTCATGGGTTTTCACAAGTATCAGATATCTGGAATGATTTGGAGTGAGCAATCAGGGAGGTGGGTACAGCCAACACCTGATCAGGGAGGTGGGTACAGCCAGGGAAAGAGACAAAGGCAAAATACGAAAAAAGACTATTTTTTAAAGAGTCCCATCCACTGTGCAGTACCGTGAGTTTCCTAATAAAACCTATCTTTTTGCACTTTCTCTCCCCTAGGCTCAAGGAACGAAATGTGCTGCTCAGTGCAGACGGCCCCAATCGGAACGTTCTGAAGTTCAAGCCACCAATGTGTTTTACTATAGAGGACGCCACGTTTGTGGTGGACAAAATAGATGAGATCCTCACAGGTATATTACTACTGCACAGTGAGAAAATGTAATATTTACCTGGTGTCTCCTGCTCGGTTCCCGTCAACGCCTTCTCACGTCAGTCACTGACTGCATCGATCTACACAGATGCTCACTCCACCTCAGTGTCATGTTTGACCTCCTACTATTCTTCAAACCCTAGATCCAGGCTTTCAGTAGCTGACCTTTCCCTTGTATCCGCAAAATTGCCCACATCTGCTGCTACCTCACCCCCACAGTGCTGAGCCCACTGCCCATATTTTCATCACCTCCAGCCTTGATTGCTCTAAAGCCCTGCTCGCCAGACTCCCCAACTCCTCTGTACACATGCTTCAGATCATCTGGAATTCTCAACCTCAAGCCCATCACCACGATCCTCTCTCAGCTCCACTGGCTCCCCAGACACCAGTCTGCTCCTGGCCCTCCATCAGTGGAAGAGCTTTCAGCCTTTCTGCCTTTCTCTCTGGAACTGTATCCCAGAGTCCCACCACCTTTAAAATGTACCCTAAAATGACAGCAACAAGTTGCATTTATACAACCAATTTCTTTGACACGTAATGTTTCGCTACATTACCCTCTCCCACCTCCCCCCCAACACACCCCTGCTGTGTTGCTGTGCTAGTCTGACGCACTGGTGATAGTAACTCTTTGGAGGCTTTCATATTACAGCACAGATTGAAGCCAGGCAGCGATACCAGCCCAACAAGCTTATGTTGGATCAAGCTCCTCCACTGGAGCTATTGACTCAAATCTGAATACCTAGTGCCTATTTAAATTGGTTGCCACTCCAATTCCCCTTTAAACGCTGCTGTGGTCCTACCTTTAACTGCAACTTGTGGCAAAGCATTCCATGTGCCAGTCACTCTCTTATAAGTGAGGTCTAAACTACTATGAGAAAAAAGCCTATCGTAAAGATTTAGTGAAAAAATCTGTTGTTAGCGATTCAGCAGAAAATAGTAACTAGTGAATCTGTTTAGGACCATGTTTATTAGAGTTCTGATCTACTTGTGCAATCTGACTTGTTCTTGTGAGATTCAAAGACTCAAGCCAAAGAGGCCAAATCTAATTCTGTGGGTGGAAACCTATGATTGATGGAAATTTGCAACCTTTTTACTTGTGTTGCGTGTTTCCAGATCTTGAGAAAGCCACTAGAAGCACCATTCCAAATAAAGAGCCCAGATCAGTGGAAAACGGAGGAGTCAGTGTGAGCAAAAGAAAGGCAAGTATAGTCTTGTGTGAGAACAAGAAAATATTTTGATTTGCATATCAGCTGGGAACTCAATGGCCAGGATAAAATTATAAATTGTTCACCGAAGTGAAAGGATCAGCTTGGTTCAGTTGTTGGTCGCACTCTTATCTCTCGGTCAGAAGGTTGTGGATCCACATTTGAGCTCATATTCCAGGGCTAACAGTAACAGGGCTAACACTGTCGTGTCTGAGAATGCTGCATTGTTGGAGGTGTTATCCTTTTAATGAGATGTTAAACCAAGGTCCTGTTCATTTGAGCATTAAGGAACCCATAGCACTATTTGAAAAGAGAAGAGAGCTTCTCCCAAGCCAGCAATCATTCAGATAAATTGATCATTCACTTCACAACTCCTTTTTGGGACATTGCTGTGCTCTAATTGACTGCCCTGCTTGCCTACAGTAGACCATAGGATGATAGCTTGTCTAAAAGTGCATGATGCAGATGCTATTAAAAGCCTTGGAGATGTTTTAAGACAATGACAAATTACCAGTATTCCAGACAAAGTAACTTAAGGCAATAAGATCATCACAGAAACAGCTTGAACTTTCAATACATAAATGAACAGAACTAACACGCATACCTATTTCAGTGGCTTGACTGCAGATTTCAAACAAACTTTAAAATTTAAAACCATGTTAAGCCGGTGCTCATTACTTCCTCCTTCATTTATTTGAATAGATTCCTCATGGTGGTGCAGTGGAGTTGAGCAATGGCTGTACAAACGGCTTACAAAGTGAAGACCGCCCCGATAGAAACAGCAGCCATTTCAGCAGAACAGCCTGTGGGCAGCAACAGAACTCCTGCCACACTGCCGTGTCCTGCAAAAGGATTAGGACATAAAGACTGCTAAATTGAATGGGATTCCTTTCTTAAAAGGGGCTGTTTCACAAAAAAATTCAACTTTGCCACTGTTAATGGTGGGCAAGGAAGAAGTATTAGCCACGTGCTAGCAATGGTGAAGGGAACTTTTGCTATTAATCATCACCTCAGCCCAACCCTTCCCCCATCCCGACACAAAGCCCTGAGCTGGAGTTTCAGTTCCTTGCACAGTACAACATAGCCCTTTTCCCACCCCACACAAGGCTCTTAGCCAGTGTTTCTGGACCTGCACTGTGCTATCTAGTGGTGCACAGCTGTCCATTTGAGGCATCTTATCCCACTCCTCTCCATCGCACATAACTAACATTATTGTACAAACGCATTGGTGAAAGCTCTTTTCCACTGCAGTTTTTGAGGGCACTGGCCTGCTTCACGTCCCCCGCCCTGCCTGTCCCACCATCGGTGGTTGGGGCTTCACCTTTCCTGCCCCCACCCTTTGGAATTCCATCCCGGATTCCCTTCACTAACTTCCTTCAAGTTTGTCTCAGCATCTTCCTTTTTGACTACAGCTTAAGTCATCTTTCTCCACTCCAATCCCCTTGCCCCTCCCCTCCCAAAACTGACCCCCCATCTTGGGTACAAAACTCGACTATCCAGCTCCTTGGGACATCCTCCTAATGTAAAAGGCTATATAAATGCAATTTGTTGTTATTATTTGTTTGCCCACAAAACGTAGTCACTCAATGCAGTGAAGTGCTTTGGGAAGTCTTGAAAGGCGTTGAACCTTTCATGTAAGGATGTGAAAATGTATGGATTATTAAGGAATATGAGGTAACATAAGAGGTAACTGGACAACCATTTACACTCTCTTCTGGCCTCACTCCCCCACCTCCCCGCGGTGGTGTTAGTGAACAGTCAAGTCAGCTGGACCCTATGCACATTAACAATTGTCAGCATTAGTGTTAAATGTCTCAACTACCTCCTTTAGGATTACTGTAACATCAACTATTAAGATATTGCTGCAGGATGTGGTTTATTCCCTTAACTGTGGGAAATCTAGTCAGAGAAACTTGAAATAATTCAGTTTGTAGAGTGTGGTTTAATTCCAGAGTACTGTACTGTCTTATTGTAATTCAGAACAAAAAGTGCTACACATGAAATAATTTTACATACAGATTGAACTGTTCACCTCAATTCAGATTAGTAGTTTCTCATTGTACTTTTATTTCCGTCTGTTCATTCTTGATGGAAATAACATTTGTTTTCAACTTGGTGTATATTTTCTTGACATGGTGCTATACTATGGTAAAAAATACTTGTAAATTCTTTTCTTTCATCATTTGTACATATAAGCAATAAAACATGAACTTTAAGTTCAGTGACTGGTTACATTCACAGATCTCCCAAAATATCAGCCCTTTCTCTCATCGCACTTCAACTTCAAGAAACAAGTATAAGTTACAGGTAGCGTTAACATCCCATGTGGGAAAAGTTGCAGGTTGGGTTAACCATGTGCAAATGTTACAGGTTGTGTTAACCATTTGCAAACATAGGTAATGAGAGAAATAAAGCTGACCTTAATTGTATGGTGAACAACCAGTGAGCCTGTAATCCTTTTATTGGCTAACTTCATAATTACAGGTATCTGTAATTGCCTCTTTACACATACATTTGCACAACTTGCAAATTAGACTCCAATGTGTCCATTGTACTCGCATGTATCAACTAGATCACCCGATTTTAACTGATCCTATTGTCATGATGGTGCCAGACTCTGAACAATATACATTACATAACTCGAGCCTTTGGCATTTTTGGAACAATTCATTCATACCCTAGCATACAACAAAACAACAACAAAATTACATTTGTAGAGCGCCTTTCACGTCGGGAGGACATCGCAAAGCGCTGGACAGAGTTAGGAACCCAAGCTGAGAATCAGGATGGGAGAGGGCGGGGGGGAATCAGGAAGATCGAAAGCACGGTCGAAGAGGAGGGTCTTGAGGTGGGTCTTGAAGATGGCGAGGGAGGGGGTGAGATGGAGGGACTGCGGGATGGAGTTCCAAAGGGTGAGTACAGAGTGGTAGAAGGCCCGCCTGCCAATAGTGAAGCAGGCTGGAGCCTGCTGAGCGGAGGGAGTGAACAGGGTGGTAAGGGGTTAGGAGGTCGGAGAGGTAGGAGGGAGCAAGACCATGGAGGGCTTTGAAGGTGAGGACCAGGATCTTGAGCTTATCCTCTGTGTGATGGGACGCCAGTGGATTTGGGTAAATCTGGGGGGATAGGGTCGCGGAGCCCAGTGCAGGAGAGGACACGGGCTGCAGACTTCTGGATGATCTGCAGCCTGTGGAGGGAGGAGTTGGTGAGGCCGACAAGCAGTGAGTTTGCATAGTCCAGCCTCGATGTTATGAATGCGTGTATGAGGGTTTCGGTGGCCTGTGGTGTGAGACAGTGTTGGAGCCGGGCAACGTTGCAGAGGTGGGGGAAGGCAGAGCGGATCATGGCGCAGATGTGGGGTAGAAAGGATAGTGAGGGTCAATAAAGACCCCAAGGTTCCAGACTGGCTTAGTAAGGTGAAGTGTGTATCCACGGATGATGATGCTGTCAGCGCCTAAGGTGAGGAGGCGCAGACGTGAGTCAGTCAGTAGAGTCTCGGTCTTGTTGACGTTCAATTGAAGAAAGTTAGCTCGCATCCAGAACTTGATGTCTGACAGACAGGAATTTCAGAATTGAGCCAGATCTCTGTGGTGGTTTCAGTCGTCCGGTTCCTGAGCCAGGCACGTCCACAGTATTCCAGGCACTGCTGATGACAGTACAGCAAGCCTGGTTCATTAGCAGGACTTGGAAGAGCAGACAGTCACTGGGGGCAGGGAGTCATCATATTTAGCTCCTGTTAACCCTGCAAGCCAAAGCCCTAACGTGGAGGATGGTCCTAGCTGGACAAGCAATGGGAAAGTTTGCCAGGCAGTGCTATGAATGGCAAGCTGTGCAGTTTTAGCTGGTTAGACTTCTGGGGTCCCCAAACACTGGCTATTGTCAACCTGCGCCTAATAATTTTCAGAATTAGGTAAGCAGGATATGTCCTTCCAGGGAGAGGGTTGGCATTCCATTCCAACAATCTATCTGGAATTTCCATGGAATTCTGTTTGGTTTGGATATTCTTAAGTTTGGTGATGGGTTTCCGCATGTGTCAGACACCCGACTGAGCAAAAAAAAAAGTTTTAATATCACAGCAAACAGCAATTAACTCTGATTGAACTTCCTCATAGATACCTCACCTATCTGCCCGACCAGAGGAAGGTCAGGGAAATCATTGTGTCCTCCCTGACTGAAACTCTGATTAATGTACTCCTGGCTTCAGGGCTAAGCTCCAGCAATTAATACTTAATCTTATCAATATTCTCTCTTTATTGTGTCTTTCATGCTTCTGTTTGGTGTCAGGGAATAGAGTCTGAGAGGGAAGAGTTCTCAAAACAAGAGAATGTGAGAAAAACAGTGGGGTAAGCAGTCTGCAGGCAGGGAGTGCTGAGTCAGTCTGCTCTGGGAACTGAGACCTCTCCGAGGGTAGCAATCATGTGGAGCCGAAATATCATCACCTCTACCTAGAACTCATGCCAGTCTCTGTATGAAAGATGCTCTGTAAAATCTACCATATGTGTTCTGTTAATTCGGTTAATGTTGATAATGTAATGTAGTGTAATAATGTAGTGTTAATATTGTCCATGCAGGTGCCCGAGCTGAGTAAGACAGTCGGGTAGAACTTGCCCAAACCCAAGGACGGTTTTGTGACAGAAGCTTGAAGCTTTAACTTATCTTTCAAACTGTTGAGAATTTCCAGAATTGTTCAGGTCTGTGATGTTTCTCCCCCTTCAATCATCTCCTCTCTTCTCCTAAAGGTGCTACCTTTGCCCAGGTTGCTGCTCTGCAATGGAGGATTAGTGAGCAGCTGTATCCCTCCAGAGACAGAAGGCATACTCCATTACAGACAGATGGAAATTGTATCCCAGCACTACATTGAGGTATCAGCCTGGAGGTGCTGTGAGTTGAAAGTCCTGACACCAGGGAGATGTATTTAATGTCTCATGCTGCTTGTTTGTTCCATGTGCCTTTCACTCTTTTAATAATATGTTTATTTTTCTCACCACCCACTTCATTTATGTTCTTTTGCAGTGTTCAATGACCAACCAACCAAGCAGGACCTGTGAATTTCTGGTCCACTGGAATTGTCGTACTTTGAAATGGTTTGACGATGTGATAGAGGTCTATATCAAATCCGAGTATTATTATTAAAATCTCTCTCCACCTCCCTCAAAGCGAAGTACTCTGTTCCTGTGCAACATCACTGAGTTCCGCCTTGTTGTTGGAACAGGTGTCATGTACCCAGTAACCTCAGATGAGTCAAAAATATCTGATCCTATCATGATACAAACTCACGCCTCTCAGGGCTGAACAGTGTTACTTTGCAAAACACCCTGAATCCATCTCCAAGGTAATTTGATCCTTAGAGTCAGCAGATGGCAACAGCTGAGGTATCTATGATATGTGATAACATCACTAAGTCTAAGAGATAAAGAGCAGCAGCTTACAGTCAGATACGATTACCATTCCTTCCATCAGCTGGAAATACAATAGTGACAACTTGGCTCATGTGACAGCTTGTGTGACCTTGACTAACAACCAGCAAAGCAATTCGCCCAAGATCAATGCAGTAGCTCATCATTCATGTGTTTGGATGAATAATATGATACTTTGTTTGAAAAAAAAGTCACTGCCAATAAATGGATGTCTTCCCATTTCAGACATCCATCATCGATTCCCAGGTAAGAAACAGTACAGCTAGTGGTAGAGTGAAGCTCCCTCTACTCTGCCCCCAGCAAACCAGGACGGATGTCTTCCAAGTCTAGATTTATTCCATTTATGAGGCATTTTCGAACATCCATAATTTGGCAAATTCCTGAATTCAGTCTTTACTTTGAGAGTGCATTTCTGTTTTTAAGAATTAGACAAATTCTGGATGCACTGAAATGCTTCACAACTAGAGTATATCTAGACCCTGGTGGAATTTCTCTGCAAAATTGCTTGTGTTGCAATTTCTGAACAGAGGTCTTTATACAATACTATAAAATTAACACTTACATTGGGATGATGTCTTAAAGAACTTGACAATGTTGGCTGGACTTCCAAGGTACTAAGCTTCGTGAGCCGATCATCCCCATCCTCACCCGGCTTCACTGGCTCCGTATCCCCCAGAGGAATTGAGTTCAAGAACCTCATTCTCACCTTTAAAGCCCTCCATGGTCTTGCTTCTCATTACCTCTGAGACCTATTAAAACTTCACCAACCTGTCTGTCCCCTCCACTTTATAGACACTGGTCTGCTCCACGTCCCCCGCCTTGCCTGCTCCATTAACGGCGGTCAGTCCTTCAGCCTTTCCGCTCCCATCTCTGGAACTCCATCCTGGAGCCCCTCCACCTTGCCCCCTCCATTGCCTCCTTCAAGGCCTATCTCAAGACCTTCCTTTTCAATCATTCCTTAGGTCATATTCCGTCCTCCACCCCCACTTTCCCTTTAACTCTCTCTGATCCCAACCCACAGCTCGGGTGCAAAGCCCTCATTGTCCAGTACCTTGGAACGTCCTCCCGACATGAAAGGCAGTAGATAAATGCAATTTTTTGTTGTTGTACGTTGATGTCTAAAATATTCTCCAGGACGTTTACCACCTAGAGATGCCTGTAATGCAAACAGTGTTTGCTCCAAAAAACCCTGTAATTGTACTGATAGGACAAATGGCTTGCCAGGTCTGAAACCCTTGTGCTGGACTACATCAATATGGTGAGCTTCACTGAGAACATGGAGGTGGAGTGGGTTTGGCGTAATTCATTTACTTCCTAGAGCTGCACAACACTGAGGTAGCCCAGCACAAGGGCTTCAGAGATGGCAGGGCGTTTTTCCTATCAATATGTGCCTGATTTTGATTTTCAGTGACAGATGTAGGAAGATTTCATTACCACTGCATAGAGTAAATTAAAATGATTTCACTTCTTACCATTGCAAGATTCCTGCTTTCAGCCAGTAATCCCTTCCTGCCAATCCAATGCCACTGACAATTCCCCATATGGCATGTGGAGGCATATGACCTCAGATTGGTCTTCTTTTATTCTTGTTGTATCTTTTGGGGTGAAGTTGGGAGACGAAAAATGAAGAACAGATTCAAATAGCAGCTTCAGGCTTTCCCACTCAAACCAACAAACAGCAGTCGCAACCGCAAGACAAGAAACAGTAACTCTTTGCTAAGAACGTCATGAATTTGGCATCAGCAAGAAAGGACTGATACATGTTACTGTTCAAATAAAAAAAACGTTCCTTTGAAACCAGT